TTCAAAATGGGCAATAGGCAAAGGAAATTCAGAGGACAATGGCAAAGAGATGATTCAAAATGACAGCTGTGCAGTAGGCCCTAGAGAACAACTTGTCCTGATTGGAGCAAGACAACAGACTGTGGGAGGAGATCCCCAGGAAAAACATGAAACTGATTCTTTGAATGTAGAAAATATTGTTGATAGACCTATAGCAGAGATGTTGGAGCCCGTGGAAAATTAATTAGAAACAATACTTAGAAAACCAGAGAAATGAAAAACCAAGTCAATTATTAACTCTAGGAAAAAGCAAAGGGTTTAACCAGAAAGGAAGCATGGTCATAGTGCATCTACTTGGTTTGGTAGAAAACAAAATTTACATGACCATAATATAAACATCTCCACTCCCAAATTGCTGTGTAATAATGTTGGAGAGATAGGAGGAGGTTAAGTAAGGAGTGGTGTTGGTACGGGAGAAATGAGCCAATAGACATTCTAAAATTGATAAATCAAGAAATTGTAGCATAAGTTTCTTATTTAGAAGGATGGTGATAAGTACCAGGGGAAAAGTATAAGGTTTGAGGGTGTTTTCCTCTGGGGAATAGGACATGAAAGCTGAGATGGGGAAAGATAGGATAAAGGGGTCTTTTAAATTATGTGCTTTTCAACTATATTCTTTAGAATAAATCATTAAATACTTAGAAGATGGTAATCTCTACTATATTTGACTATAATAATAAGTAAATGATATTTTGAAATTTAAAACAATTAAAAAATTAAAATTTGCTTTGGTGCACTTTTAAGAATAGTTAGAATCTTCTCATGAAATTGAAGACTTGACAAAGTAATCTCAGCATAGTGGTCAAGCACATAGACTTTGGAGTCTGACAATCTGCTTTTTAGCTTTAACTTTGCCACGTTCTGTGTGATCTTGGATAAATCACTTAACTTCTTGAACCTCGATTTTTCTTGCCTATACCAAGGGGATATCAATAATACCTATGTCATAGGAATGATTTCAGAATTCAGTGAGATAAAAATAACAACAATAACAACTATGGTACTGTGCACTTTGTACGTATTATCTTATTGAATCTTCATAATCTGTCAATTTTATGAAGAGCAGACTTACCACAATGCCTAATTGTTTAATTATTAATTATTTAACATACATTAGCAGTTTTCTGTTAGTATTTTGATGGGACTGAAGACGAATAGGAGAAACAATGAAAAAAAAAGACAAATTCAGTAACATTCCACTTATTTTGAGACCAGATTGGTGATATCTTCTGTCCCCCTATTACACATCGTCTTGAACATGAAATAAGAAGAAAAAACTTTCCAGGGCATCGAAGTTCAAAAGTCACACTTTCTGGCTTAGCTCTGCATTCTTTTTTTAAGAATTGTGGTAGGGGCACCTGGCTCGCTCGGTCAGGAGAGCGTGCGACTCTTGATTTTGGGGTCGTGAGTTTGAGCCATTGGGCATGGAGATTACTTTAAAAATAAATACATGAAATAAACTAAAATTGTGGTAAAATATACCTAATATAAGATTTTACCATTTTAACCATGTTTAGTTCAGTGGCATTAAGCACATTCACATTGTTGTGCAGCCATCACTACCATCCGTCTCCAGAACTTTTCATCTTCCCAAACTGACATTCTGTCCCCATTAAACACTAACTCCTTATTGCTCCCTCCCCCAGACCTGGGCCACTACAATTCTACTTTCCGCCTCTATGAATTTGACTATGCTGGGTATCTCATGTAAGTGGTATTTGTCCTTTCATGTCTGACTAAGTTAAATAAACTTAGCGTAATGTTTTCAAGGTCATCCATGTTGTAGCATCTCTTGGTACTTCATTCTTTTTCATGACTGAATCATACTCCATGCATATTATCTACCACATTTTGTTATTCATCTGTCAATGGACACTTGGGTTGTTTCCCGTCTTGGCTATTATTAATAATAATGTTGCTATGAACATGCAGAGATCTGTTTGAGTCCTTCCTTTCAATTCTTTTGGGTATATAACCCAGAGGAATTGCTGGATCATACGGTAATTCTATGTTTAATTTTTTGAGGAGCTGCCATACTGTTTTCTACAGTGATGCACAAGGGTTCTAACTTCTCCACATCCTCACCAATACTTGGGGTTTTGCACATACAACCCTGTGCCCATGAGGAAGAGATTCTGTTGCATAGATTTTCAAAAAAAAAAAAAAAAGTATTTTATTTGTTTATTTAAGAGAGACAGGATAGTGAGAGAAGGCATGAGTGGAAAGGCAGGGGAGAAGCAGACTCCCCACTGAGCAGGGAGCCCGATGCGGGGCTCAATCCCAGAACTCTGGGATTATGACCTGAGCTGAAGGCAGCTGCTTAACTGACTGAGCCACCCAGGCGCCTCTGTATTTTTCTGATTACTATAAGAGTATCTTTTTGCACTTTTATTGGCTACCCATGTAATTTTGCTGTGTTTTAATCAAGTCTCTATTGGTGGACTTTTGGCTTGGTTATCTGACCACTGCATATTTGGAATGGCCAAACAAGAAGGTGAATATTGGAAGGTGTTAGAAATGCATCCAATGACAATAAAATGACTGCAGAGACATTCAAAATGATAGCCTTGAGTCATCAAGTTTCACTGTATTTAGGAGATAAAATAGCGTTCTACAAAGAGTTCTATCAAAAGTGGTTAAAAATATGAAGTCTTGGTAATTTTTAAAAGCTACCATTTATTGAACATCAACTGTGCATCATCCCTCTGTGTTAAGGCTTTTCAAACATCATTTGATTTCATCTTGGCTTGAACAAGTATCATGTCATTTTATGTTATAGAAAGAAAGGTTTCTGGAGAGTTGCCCAAGGTCACAAACCACAGGGAGTGGGTAGTTGGATCTGAATCCAAATCTGTGACACCCTCACCCTTTGAGACGGACATCTGAGGGAGGTCCTGGAGACTCATGGACCGCATGTACCATGCTTACTGGTGTCTTGAGTAGCCTGGGCCATTGTTTTTTGTTTTGTTTTGTTTTGCTTTGTTTTTATTCTTACTCTTGCAAATCCAGAGTCAATAGACTTCAGGCAAAGGCTTTATTGCAGTTCTGCACCAAGTGCACCATGACTCACTAGGAAATGACTTTAGGTGGTGCTTAGACACAACGTTCAACGGCATTGCATCACCTGGTGAGGAAGTTACTCTCCTTTGAGTCCCTCTTAATCATGGCATCAAGGAGAAAGTCTCCACATGGTGCTACCAAGTCTGGAACACCTCTCTGGCACTTGCTGATTTTTTTCCTATTTAACAAATGCTGCAGCAGATTCAGAGCTTCCGTGGGTAACGGTAGAATTTAATAACATTATTTTAAAAAATGATATTTACTCTTAGAGTTATCATCTAGTTATGGCAAGACGTCTGTTTTTCATTTGCACTAATGAAATAAATTTCCCTTTTAAAATGAATTTGTTTTCATAAAAATAGAGAGTCACGTAACAGAAAATTGTAGGCATATGCTGTTACCAATTGTCAAATAACTGGGCAAAATTGTGAATAAAGGTAGCACTTGAATGACGTTTGAGAGACACTGCTTTCCTGGATTCATAAGACCAGGCTCTAGGCTCCACGGGTATCACTCTTTGTTAATTCTAATCACACTTTCCTGACTTGAGAGTACATTATATAACATGAGATGCTTGTTAAGAATTCAGATGCCCAGGCCTTGAACCCCCAAAGAGCCTCAGCAGGTCTCAGGGGGGCCCAGGCTTTGCAATTTTGATTAAGCAACCCAAGTGGTTCTGATGCGAACTGGTCAGCACGTGGCACTTGCAGAAATTCTGAACAGGATCTTCCCATCGATTTAAAAAAGAAAGATTTATTTGTTTATTTTAGGAGGGCAGAGGGAGAGTGTCCTGAAGCAGACTCCCTGCTGAGCACAGAGCCCCATGTGGGGCTCAATCCCAGGACCCTGAGATCATGACCTGAGCGGAAACCAAGAGTCCCCCGCTTAAACCACTGAGCCACACAGGTACCCTGCACTATAGATTTTTTGGAAATAGATGGGGAAGAATGCCGTGCATGCCTGTAAGTTTGGCAGGATGCAGCAAGCTTCCGCCTTTGTGTGACTACAGTGGGTTAGGTTTCCGGGGCAGGAGGAGTCACATCTAATTTTCAGGCGGTGTTCTAGGCACTTCACACACGTTGAGTCATTTCATCCTCAGCACAATCCGAGGAGGCAGATACTATTATTACCTTCATTTTACAGGTGGGGAAACCTGGACACAGAGAGGTGCAATCACTTGCATAAGGTCACAGGGCCGGGAGGTGGCAGAGCTGGGATTTGAACGTGGCCATCAGATCATATTCGGAGCCAACATTCTTCCCCACAGTGATCAGCTCCCTCCCCTGGACCCGCGTCTATGTGTGGTGATGAAGTTCCATCACCCCCTCCAATCCTGCAGATTCCTGTTATCCTATCAGGAGATCAGACTCTTTGCTAGTAAAAAGAAATGAATTGATCATTGAATTAAATGAGTACAGACTCAGTCAACATCCCTGGTCTGAGGACTACTAACCTTCCAGCTCAGTCGAAACCATGGACTAGGCCTATCTTTCAAAACTAAAAGCCAACATTTCTACTTCCTATGATGAAAATAAAAAGCGTTCTCAATTTACCAGATAGACTAAACAGGTACTGATTTATCTGATTCTGTGTACAGAAGCCCAAGACAGGGGAAAACCTGTGATCTGTCCCACTCAACATTTCTCATTTTTTCCCCATTACTTCAAAGAAAAGGAAAGTTGAGAAATCACAGAGGAGACTTCTCAAGGACCATCAGTTCCAGTGTTCAGACTCAAATACAAAAAGAGGCTCAATAAACTCAGGGTCTGTACCTTTCAGGAATCAATCAAATTGTGGAGGATTTGAGGCTCGCCCAGGACAACGTGGGCAATTTTGGTAATTTACCACATGCATTTCTTTTTTCTTTTTCTTTTCCTCCCCTCCTCCCCCCGAAGTCACAGATGGCTGCTGGAAGCCGAGCCAACACTGTGCCACGAGACGCAGACAGCTGTGGTGTGGTGTGCAGTGGAGGTGCATGAGAAATGGCCCATGGTGTGAGCTGGAAGGGCAGGCGTGTGGGCTTCCTCTCTGACCTGGGCAGAGCGGACTGCAGGAATGGTGAGATCCAGGGTAGGCAGCACGCCTTGAATATGGCCAGACTAGGGAAAAGGTTTTGTTTCTCCTGTCAGTGGCTGCTTTTTTGCCCCGTGGGGGAGAGCTTGGTGGAGCAGCTCACAAGCAGGAGCCCATGGAAAATGCATGGCCGGGATGTCAGCAATTGCGTCACAGTTGCACTCTGGAAAGGGGTGATCACTTTGAACAATGCACACGCGTTCACATGACAAACCATTAAGACTCCAGCCTGGGTAAACAGCATGTGTTCTTTATCAGATTGCTTCCTTAGTCTATAGCACAGTCTATATAGGCTAGAGTCCTTCACGCCAATTAAACAAAGGCAGGGTTAACTGTCAGGTTTTTATGAGGTGCTTTCGATGCTGTTTTTGATAATGAAGCCACGGAGTCTCCTACCAAAAAAAATAGATTATTTAATTCCTATGTTTTTCTGTCTCTGTCAAGATAACTGCTGAGCAGCTGAAGATAGCATATGTTTGTAGGGGTAGCTATCGAGAACAACACAAGATATCTACTTTAAAGTAAAAACTGTAAAGATTCTCAACATGTAAGTTATTTTCTCTGTGACATCTGAGGCCAGAAGAGGGGCAATTCTCTAAAAGGAAGATGTAAAGCAGTAGTTGTCAACTTGGGCTCTACATCAGAATTACCCTGGGGAGCTTTCAAAAATCCCGATACCTGTGGCACACCCCAGACCAAATAAATCAGAATCTCGGGGGGATAGGACCTAGGCACCAACATTAAAAAAAAAAAAATTTCCCAGGTGATTCCCATGCGCAGCTAAGGTTCCAAATTATTGCTAGAAGGGGAAATTTCCTTACCCTTCTGAAAGTCATGTAACACTTCTGGGGAAATGGAATCCACTGACATCTCATTTCTGGAGGAATGAAAATGGAAATCACCGTATCGATGGCCTGATTTCCATATTTTAGTATCTGCCTCTCTTCTAATTGTTCTGTGCAAGTATTGGAAATCCTGCACTTTAGTGCCCATGGGGACAAAGCAGGTAGAGCAGATGGGGATCCCAGGGGAAGGCTAGGGGAACAGAGACTGGAGGGGAGCCGAGAGTCTCGGCCCCAAAGTTGAATAGCCTTTCCACACTCCTCCTGATGCTTCCAGGGGCAGATGCAGCTCAAGTGGGGCCAGGGTTTTGGATTTTTCCAAATAAATTGCTCATCAGAATTTTTGTATGTAAAATATCCCATTTTAGAAATGTTAGCCAGAAATTAAAGAATTTTTTAAAACCTCCCTGCAGCCAAATGAAGCTCATCTGCAGGCCAACTTTGGCTTTGCGGGCTGCCTTTTAGATCACCTGACTTATACACCTTTTGGGAAGCAGGGATTCTTCTTCTTTTTTTTTTTTTTCATTATTGTGGTAAAATACACTTGCCATAAAATTTACCATTTTAACCATTTTAAAGTGTTCAGTTCAGTGGCATTAAGTACATTCATGGTGTTGTGCACCCATTCTCTCTATCTAGTCCTAGAACCCTTTCATGACCCCAAACAGAAAACCCATACCTATTAATCACCTCCCCTAGCCCCCTTGCAACCACCAATCTGCTTTCGGTCTCTACGGATTTGCCTAGTCTGGTTGTTTCTTATCGATGGAATCATACAGGCTGTGGCCTATTGTGTCTGGCTTCTTTGCTTTGCATAATGTTTTCAAGTTCATCCCCATTGTAGCACGCCTCAGTGCTTCCTTCCTATTTACGGCTGAATACAGTTCCATTGTATGGATATGCCACACTTTGTTTATCCACTCATTAGGTGATGGGTAGTTGGGTGGTTTCCACCTTTTGGCTATTGTGAATAGTGCTGCTGTGAACATTTGTGGGCATGTTTTGTTTCAACAGGGGGATCATCCTTACATAACAGATGCCCCCATAGCACTAATCCCAATTCTGAGCATACTCATATGTGCTCATGAGTCGGGGACTTAACTATAGCGGGACCAAATTGTCCCACTTTGCCTTGGATTGTCCTGGTTTTAACATGGAAGGCCCCGCATCCAGTAAACCAATAGAGGGAAGTCTGGCAGTGGTCTCATCCACCAGCAAAAGCCTTCTCGAGGCAATGCCAATGGTTTTAGTATTTTGATGGTGACTTCAAAAATCATCGTGACAAATCTATGTTTCTTGCGGTTGTCTCTAATTGCAGTGACTTCAGGACACTGTGCTTTGGCACAAGCCGGTTCCTCCCGGTTCCTCGATGTTGCCCAGAGGATTCCTATCCCTTCTGTAGTCTCAGCTTCAGACTCATGTCCTCAAAAGAGCCTTCCCAGAGCCCCTTCCCTTGCACAGCGGTAAAGGACTCCCTTCCTTTATTCCCAGAGCATAGTATAATTACAGGATGCATTTGCCTGGGTCTCCCCATGAGACCACAACTCCCTCAGGGATGGTGGAATATTGCTGAGATTTTGGTCTGCCCAACATCCATCCCCTCTTCTGACAATAGCATTCCCCTTTTCCTTTGGGGGCGGGCAGCTGTCCCCTAATCTCAGACAACACGGTTTGGGTGGAGTTGATACCAGTTCCTGGCAATCCAGACCTGGCCCGTCTGCACATTCCATCCCCTTGGTCGACACAACTGGCTCAAGAAGAGGTGACCTGAGCCAGGTTAGGGCACAATCAATCCTGCAACTTATGCAGGAGCTAGCTGGAACTAAGTCAGAGCTAAGGAGGAAGGAACTCTACTTCTGATAGGGTTGCTAAGCTCTCGGCGCTGTCTTTGCCACAACCTGGGGAAAAGCTGCCTCAAAGTGAAGCCACCACGGAAGAAAGCAGAACTGAGGGACAGGGAGAGAAAGGGATGATGCCAGGCTGCAGTGAGTTTCCTCCCCTTAACTTCCTGGTTCTATGAACCACATTTTTGCTTAAACTGGCTCATTTTGGGTTTTCATCTCGTCCAACTAAAAGAAAACTGAAGAATGCACTGTCTTTTATTAATATTTAAATCCCATACTGTCGTATCATCCTGGCCCATTATAGGCACTCAAGAAATGTGTGTGTCAATGCAGACTTTTCTAGGTATCCCGTTGCTATGTTTTCTCAGTAATGATATGATATCGATGCAAGAAGAGTCAGGAGGGGAGGATGTGGAGAAGTTGGAGCCCTCCCACATTGCTGGTGGGAATGGTAAATGGTGCAAACAGCTATAGAAAATAGTTTGGCAGTTTCTCAAAAAGTTAAACCGAATTATCATATGATCCATCATCCCCGCTACTGGATATACAGGCATATCTCATTTTATTGCACTTCTCTGTATTGAGCTTCGCAGATACTGTGTTTTTTCTATTTTTTTTAAAGATTTTATTTATTTATTTGAAAGAGAGAATGAGATAGAGAGAGAGAGCATGGGGGGGGAGGGTCAGAGGGAGAAGCAGACTCCCCGCCAAGCAGGGAGCCCGATGCGGGACCCGATCCCGGGACTCTGGGACCATGACCCGAGCCAAAGGCAGTCGCCCAACAACTGAGCCACCCAGGTGCCCGATACTGTGTTTTTTCTAAATTGAAGGTTTGTGGCAACCCTGCATCAAGCAAGTCTATGGGCACCATTTTTCCGACAACATTTGCTCACTTTGTGTTTCTGTGTCACATTTGGGTAATTCTTGCAATATTTCAAACTTTTTCATTATTATTGTATTTGTTATGGTGATCTGTGATCAGTGATTACACCTGCTGAAAACTCAGATGCGGCTAGCATTTTTTAGTAATAAACGTATTTTTTAAAAGATTTATTTGTTTGAGAGAAAGAGAGAGCACGTGTGTGTGTGCACAAGTCGGGGGAGGGACAGAGGGAGAGAATCTTTAAGTAGACACTCTACTGAGCACAGATCCCGATGTGGGGCTCAATCACATGACCCAGGAAATCATGACCTGAGCTGAAACCAAGTCAGACACTTGACCGACTTGCCACTCAGGCATCCCAGGAATAAAGTATTTTTTAATGAAGATATGTACATTACTTTTTTTAGAGGTAATGCTATCACACACTTAATACACTGAAGTCCCATGTAAATGTAACTTTTTTATTTCAGGTGTATAAACTATTTTATTAATAGACAAGGCCTACAAATTTATTTCTTCTTGGACACACCCACGGTGCGGCCACGGCACCCTGTGGTCTTGGTGTGCTGCCCTCGGACACGAAGTCCCCAGAAGTGGCGCAGCCCTCTGTGGGCCCTAATTTTCTTCAGTCTCTCCAGGTCTTCACGAAGTTTGTTGTCCAGACCATTGGCCAGGACCTGGCTGTACTTTCCATCCTTCAAGTCCTTTTGTCTGTTCAAAAACCAGTCTGGGATCTTATACTGGCGAGGATTCTGCATAATGGTGATCACACGTTCCACCTCATCCTTAGTGAGCTCTCCGGCCCTTTTGGTGAGATCAATGTCTGCTTTCCTCAACACTACATGAGCATATCTTCTCCCCACACCCTTAATTGCAGTGATGGCAAAAGCTATTTTCCGCCGCCCATTGATATTGGTGTTGAGTACTCGCAAAATGTGCTGGAACTTCTCAGGGATCACTAGAGACATGGCGGCGGCCCCAGTGGCAGCGTGTAGGCCTCTTGTGGAAGCTGTAAATGTAACTTTTATATGCACTGGGAAACCAAAAAATTCACTTGACCTGCTTTATTGCAATATTTGTAATATTTATTGTAGTGGTCTGGAACCAAATCCATCTCTAAGAGATGTTTGTCTGCCCAAAAGAATGCATGACAGGTGTTGAAACAACTTGTACACAAATGTTCATAGCAGCACTATTCACAATAACCAGAAGGTGGAAAAACGCAAATATGCACCAGCAGATGAACAGGTAATCAATGCAGTCTATCCATACAATGGAATATTGCTCAGCCACGAAAAGGAATGAAGCACCGATCCATGCTACAACATGGATGAACCTCAAACACATTACACTAAGTGAAACAAGCCAGACACAGAAGGGCTGATATTATAAGATTCCACTTATATGGAATATCCAGAAAAGGTAAGTCCATAGAGACAAAAAGTCGATTAGTGGTCGCAAGAGGCCGACAGAAGGTGGGAATGTGGAATGACTGCTAAATGTGTATGGGACTTTCCTCTGGGTGACAGAAACATTCTGGAATTATAGAGTGCTGATGGTTGCACAACGCTGAGTGTAATAAATGTCACCAGTGGTAAATTTTATGTTATGTATATTTGGCTGCAATAAAAACAAACCAAAAGAATCTGGAACTTCATTGGGGCTGCTGCAGATGGATGCCATGCGGGTTGTTTCCTTCATCAGGTGCCCAGGCTGGGGAGGGGGGCATGGCCTCAATTTGCCCCACGAGCCTTGACCCCTGGTACCTGAGCAGAGCAGATGCTTTCTTCTGATTCACCATTTAGGTTAATGCAGAGCTTCACAGACAAGATGGCGTAAGATGTAAGCAAGTTTGGTCGATGACCTCACTTTACTGCAATTTTCAACGATACTCCTTCACCGTGCTCTAAGTAGTTGGCCAGTGCCACAGTACACATCCTCTCCCATCCTGAGGGTGCTATCTCTGAAAAATTCACAGTGCATTGTTGAGTGCTTAATTTGTAAAGCTAGCATAAATCACTGGACTAAATTGTCCATTATCGCGAGCTCAAGTTATCTTGCCATCAAGAGAGTGATCTGGTTGCTTTGGTTGCACTGGAAAATTAAGAGACAAAGAGGCAAAAGGCCAAAAGGAGAACACTAGAAAAAGTCCATTTTCTGATGTTGGAAAGACTTCACAAGGTTAAAGATAGGAGCATTCTGCCTGCACTCATCAAAGGTATTTTTTTAAAAAGCCATTTATGTTTTGGGGATCAACGAGTTAGAACAGAACAATAATAGTCCTCTCGAAGCTATGGAAGATTTGGTTTTATCCTGGGGACTGGCATTCTGAGATTGTTATCCCCGCAAAGAATCAGGAGGAAAAAGGAAAAAAAAAAAAAAGAAAAGAAATGCCCTGGGAAAGCAGTATGTTGAGCCCTTCAAGGAAAAGTCGGTGTTACTTTTGTTCAGTTCCAGGGGCATTGGCCACCTTGCTACTTCCTAATGTGCCACTTTCCAATTTGGGTCCCTATTCACAATGCAACTTAGAAAATATTGGGGACAGCTTATCGCTAATATAACGAGATGTGGAATGAGACTTTTCCTGTTGACCCAGAACTTCAGCTAAAGCTTCAAAGCTGAGGGCAATGGGTAACAATACTTCCTCCTGTCAAGAGGTGGCCAGACTGGTCCCTTGACCATCAATAACCATCAGCCTCCAGCCTATATAAAACAAGGGCAGATTTTATCCAGAGGACATTTCTCTGATAGGTCTTTGTAGGGGGTTTTCTTTTCCCCTCTGCCCTCCAAGCCAAGAGAGGAGAGCTCAAAGCAGAATCACTCATGAGACTGGGGGGCACCAAGGTGGGGGTGGCTGGTACCTCACTGCCAGCTGAAGGTTGCCTGGGGCTGCCCATGACAGCAGGGCAAGAAGCGAGGGCAGAGGGCAAAGGTGCATCCTATTTCCCAGGGGCCAGAATATGTATGTGGGTCTGAGTCATCCTGAAAAGACTCACCCAAGAGGACTCACCCAGGACCTCAGAAAAAGAATGTGGGGTACTTCCCAGGGTATGAATGGGAACAAGGTGTGCACGAAGTCACCCAGCACATGCACTGAGTCCCCACAAGGCCCCCACAGGGTTCTCCAAAGATCCCCCAGTACACATGAACCAGCATGTGAGTTCTTGCCGGGCCATGGCAGGGGGTGGGCGGCATCTGACACCTGAGAGAACTACACCTGTTCTCAGCAGCTGCCCTGCTCCTATACTCCGGCAAGGTGAGCTGGGAAGGGGCAGGAGAGGACACACCTGCCTCATCTCCACTGCAGATTCCCCAGTCACTTGTGGGTCAGACTGGAGGGGCTTGGGGAAGAGGTATTAAACCGCATATGAGAATAGAGTTTTGATTGGACTGGACTGGACTTCTAATATGAGACTCTTCTCATAGTTGAAACTCAGAGCTATGGGGTCTGATGTGAGATTTCCAAGCTCAGCTAATTTCATAGCCCAGTAAGAATAATTTATTCCCACTATTGATAAAGGCGCTGCGAGACATGCAGCATCCAAAGTGCCGTGCAGTTTCCAGAATGAAGACCTAGCAACCACAGCGCAACGCACAGCAGTCAGCTCCAGTTCTCCAAGCTTGAAATTGGTGAGATTTCTATTGATCTGTGGTGCAAACCACCTTAAGCTATACTAGGGGCAACCAATGCAAATGCCAACAGGGGCCAGGCAGGAAATATAATGAATGAAGGGGTTTAGGTGGGGCCCATGGTGAACTGGAGAGCCTGCGTCCCATCCGAAAGGGACAACTGTCTCTCAAATCTAACCAACTATTGCCCAATGAGGCCAAGTCTTCCGATTTTCCCAGAAATGCCAGAAATCTCCATTTTTGGTAGTGTCTCCTGATTTTGGCATTATTGGTAAGAATATTAGTCAGGGTTCTTTGTTGCAAATGACACAATGTACTCCAGGTAGTTCAAGTACTAGTGCTTTAACGGGGGGTACTATGGACTGAATTGGGTCCCCTCCAAATTCACGCGTTCGAGCCTTAACCCCCATTGGACCTTTACATAGGGTTGGGTGAAGCCAAAGGGTGAGGCCCTAATTCAAAAGGGCGATGGCCTTTTAAGAAGAGGAAGCCATGTGAGCCATGCCTGCTCTGTGTGGACACAGCAAGAAGACGTGCTCTGACATCCAGGAAGAGGCTTTCACTGGAACCCGAACATGCTGGCACCATGGATCTCCAGCCTCCAGAACTGTGAGGAAAAATAAATTTGTGTTGAAGCCACCCATCAGTGGTGTTTTGTTATGTCAGCCAAGGCAGACTAAGACAGGTGGTTAGAAAGCCTATAGAATCTCCAGGGGGACAAGAGTGCTAGGCTTGGACTGTCCAGCTGGGAATGATGCCCAAGCCACACCGTCGGACTGCCCCTATGAATGCCCTGCCATGCCTCTCAGCACAGACCCCACGCTTACACAGGGGCAGGACACCTGGCTCACTTCCAAGTGTAAATCTCATGTGATGTGTGTAATGGTCGAGCCCAGATCACATGAAACTTGGTTGCAAGGAAGGTTCTGGAAGAGTGCTTTGGTTTCTCTTATGGAGACGTGGGACTCATAAGGTGGGCATTTTCCAAACATAGGAAAGATATTCAAAAGGGGCTGTACAGATGCAAAGTATAACAAATGTCCACTATAGCAATTAATTGAAAAGGCATGGTGGTTGGGAGGGGGGCAAAAAGAATGCCTTTGTGGGCTGCTTATAGCCCTGCCAGCTGATGACTTCTGAACTATGGGATACTTTCATTTTTTAGACTTCTACTTCATCTGAGAACAACCAGAAAAGCCAAATCAAATCATCATCATCATCATCACCCACTTAAAGGCATTCAGAGAGCTGCTGAAGCAACCAGACTTAGAGGGACCAAGATTCTGGAACGATGTTGAGGTGAGCTGACAAACCGCAGCCACTTTTTCCCTGGGGCATTTGCAAATTTGGGCACTTGGAATCTAGACTTTTCCCAGGCAAGGATGCCCCTGCTGGGGGCACAGAGAAACCAGCAGAATTTTGGCAGTGTCTTAGGGCTGGAGAGACAAAATTAGGGACTATCCTAGAGAGAAGGGAGGGGTAGAAAAGCGGTTTTCCCCTTAAGATATTTGGCAGATTCTGAAACAGTGCAGGCCAAGAGGCTAGAAGCCAAACAGAAAGCCCCTGAAAAAGAGAAGAGTGTCCAGCATTCTTCCCATGTTATGGCTAAAAGGATTAGAGCACAGGACCAGGGGAAGGGGCCTCAGTGAACACCTAAAGTTCTCAGCTGGAATCTCTGAAAGGCAAAGCCTTAGAGGTGGGAGCCAGAGTTAGATCGGTCTCTCATCAAAACTGCAACCCAGCCTCCACCCAGCTCAGCCCCTGACTGGATTAAGATACTCAGCCCCCATGCCATCTGCTTGCAGAGAAAGGGTGAGCCCTCTCCAGAGTTAGAGATCACCTGGAGACTTTATATATATATTTTTTCATACACAGATGTGGTATGGCACTCAACAAAAATTACAAGGCCTGCCAAGAGACAGGACCAAATCCCTGAAAACAAATCGAAAAACAGGCAATAGAAACAGACTGTTCAGGTGACCACAGTACTGGACTAAAACCAGGGCTTTAAAATAACCATGATTAATATTTGTTCAAGAGGCACAAAACAAAAGAAGGAGAAAAGAGATGAAAAGCGAATTTTTAAAAAAAGATTTTATTTATTTATTTGACAGAGAGAGCGAGAGAGCACAAACCAAGAAGAGCTTCATAGTCCAAAAGACTGAAGACATAGAGAACTCACTTGAGCTCCTCATCGACAGAGGGATTTTGAAAATGCTAATTCAGCTCTGTATGAACTGTAAAACCTCATGGCCCAATATCTAAAAAAAAAAAAAATTTTGTCATCATTCCTTGTCTTTCTCTTTACTTCTCAAGTGGCTTCCTTTAAGGGACACATTGTATCATGTGTTCTGAGTCACTCTGCTCCATAAACCAGTTGCCTGGCATGGAGCTCTGTTTACCTGGAGAAAGAGGAGCCTTTTGCTGATTATCCTAAATACATCCTTTGAGCAATGTGTGTTGGGAGTACCAGTATCAGGAAGACAGAGCCTCTCTGGGATGACATTTGAGTCGACACCAACTGACAAGGAACCAACCAGGAGAGAATTCGAGGGAGATGTGGTCTGGGCAGAGGGGATATAGAGAGCAGAGAACTCTGAGGCAAGAACATGTTTGGTGATTTGGTCAGCGGTGGGCAGACTTTTCTGGAAAGGGCCAGAGAGCACATATTTTAGGCTTTACAAGTCACACCGTGCCTGTTGCAACTACTCACTTCTGCTGTTACAACACAGCAGTAAACGCGGACATAGAACAAATGGGTGGCAGTGGTCCAATAAAACTTTGTTTATCGACACTGAAATTCGAATTTCTTATAATTTTCACACGTCACAAAATCTTTTGATTTTTTTCCGACCTTTTGAAAATATAAAAACCATTCTTAGCTCTGGGGCCATAGTTTGCTGGGATAAGATCGTTTAGGTAGGCTGGGATCAGATCGTGCAGCACACGTAGGGCATGGTAACAATCAGATTAAGGCAAAGCCCCTTTCCCCCTCCAAAAGGAAAAGCCACCCCTCAGGGTAACTGAAGTCCAGGGCCAATTCGGGGAGTGGGCAGTGTTCTACAGTTCATAGAGGATGACCAGTTTTGTTTTACTTTGTGCCAGTAACAAGAAAGGACAAATGAACACACGCACACGCACGCACTCTGGGAGGCAGCTTCCTACGGCTCATGGAAGATGATCAGGTTTTATTTTTCCCCAGTAACAAGAAAGAACGAACGAACGAAAAGACAGGCAGACAGACGCACACACACAGGGCTCAAGGAAGATGATCAGGTTTGTTTCGTTTTACACACACACCCCACGAGCCAGAAAGCCAGAGAGGACGTGCCCAGGTTCACGCTGACGTTTCTCCAGCACGCACCAAGGGTTTGAAAGTTGGGTGCACACCTGCTCCCAGCCCGAGCGCACCTGCTGAGCAGTGCTCCGGCCTCGTCTCGCGAGAGCGTGCCGTAGTTAGTAGTGGCCCCCACCCCCACCCCCCTCCCGCCCCCGCGCCCAGCCCCCGCGTCCCGGCGCACACCCCGCCGGCTCCCCCGCCGCGCGCGCCTCCCCCGCGCCCCCGCCCGCCGGCTCGCACGCACGCACGCCCGGTAGTAACTGCACTCCGCCACGCGAGCTCCGCACCCCCGCGAATCCCGCGCCCCGGGCCGCGCCGGCAGCCGGCCCCTCCGCGGGCAGGTGCGCGAGCCTGCGCGCGCCGCGGCCGCCTCCTCCGGCGGGTCCCTGGCGCGCCGGGCCGGGGCGGCTGCGCGCACGGCGCCGCTCCACCAACCCGCTCCCCGCAGGTCCCTCGCTCGCTCTCCATCCCTCGCCGGCGCTCGCTCGCTCCCCCCCGCCCTTTGATTGACAGGCAAGATGTCGGTGCGGAGCGAGGCAGGAGCGAATGCAGCAGCCGTCAGCCCCGGAGCCCGGCGGCGGCAGCAGCAGCGCGAGGAGGAGACAGCAGCCAGCCGCAGTCGCCGCCGCAGCCGCGAGAGCAATGCGGACAGCATCTTGAGGACGCGCTAAAGCACCCCAAACGGTGGACGATGCCGTGTCACTGCAACTGGGAGGGGGGCAAAGCAGAATTTTTTTGACATAAAAGCCAGCCAGCCAAAAATATATATTTGTCCTTCACGGAGCCGGTGTGTAAAGAGTGAGCGTTGTTTGCCCTCGCCTCCTCCTCTCCTCTCCTCCTCCTCCCCCTCCTCCCCCTCCTCCTCCTCCTCCTCTTTTTCCTCCTCCTCCTCCTCCTCCCCCCCTCCTCCCTAAGTGTACAGACAGCATCACATCACCTGGTTTGCTTCTGAGAAACAGCATCCCTCCTTTTCAGGGACCAGAGACTCAGAGAGAGGAGACATTCTAATGGAGTCTGCTTGATACCCCGAAATAAAATAATAAATTTTGGCTCTTGTCGCCTCCTCCCACCCCACCCCCTCAACCCTGTGTGAGATGTTGGGTTTCTTCTTCATGAGACATTGTTGAGAAGTCGCAGTGGCTGGAGAGCGTAGGGGGTAGACTACCTCTACTCCCCCCCCCCTTTTTTCTCTCTGGGAGGAGGAGGAGGAGGGGAAGGGGGCTTGCCGAGCAAGCGATGGATGAGGAAAACATGACGAAAAGCGAGGAGCAGCAACCTCTGAGTTTGCAAAAAGCCTTGCAGCAGTGCGAGTTGGTCCAAAACATGATAGACCTGAGCATCTCCAACCTGGAAGGGCTTAGGACCAAATGTGCCACCTCCAACGACCTCACACAAAAAGAGATCCGGACCCTGGAGGTAGGTGTTGCCTGGGGGGGGGGGGAGCAATCTTTCCTTCCCTCTCCTTGTTCCCCACCACCCCCTTTCCTTTGATTCTGTTTGTTGCGGGGCGGGAGGGTGTGGGAGGGTAGCAAGGTGGACACGATTTGGTTTTCTGTGATTTATCTTCTTTGCAAAGCCTGCTCTGGTTGTCCCTTTACTGTACCCCTGTCGTCTACGCTTGGCTGGGTGGTGGTAGTAGTAGTAGTAATTGTGATTCCTTATGTATTATTATTCTTGCGGCTGTTATTATCATTCGCTTCCTCTCTGAGGAGTGAGTTCTCTCTTTTTTCCGCTTGTGGATTTGTTTATATGCCACGGGGGCTTGTGTGCTGGGTAAGGCATTAAGGCGCTGCAGAGAACCCACGTGACCTTGCGCATTCTGCAGGTGGTCAAAGGTGGTTTTTGCTCGCAGAATGGGGCTGCCTATAAATATAGACCTTTTCTGCCCTCGGCCTCCTTTCCAGCCCCGCTTTTGCCCCTTGGATTTTGTTTTTGTTTTTGTTTTAGTTCAGTGGTATACACGTCAGGAGGCAAGAGGCAAAAAAAAAAAAAAAAAAAAATCCCCATTGAGCTCCCCGTTTCCAATCAAATCGTTTGATGCAGGGAGCTGTTGCAGGCCTGAAACGTGTAAAAAGATAACAGAAAATATGCCTGGATGAGCACACACAAGTGGTGTGGGAAAATACTCTTGAATCTTGGTGGGAAGGTGAGAGGGGTCGGGGGAGGAGTCATCTCTGGCGAGTTGTAACATTGTCTCCAACAGAACTTGAGGGGGAGTTTGAAGCAGTTTTGGAGGGTGGGTTGGATGCAAAGTTTCTCAGAAAGAAGATGGCAGAAATTACTTCTTCCGAAGGCCATTTGGTCAAAGGAGGAAGGTTTCAGGAGCCTTAGAAAATGTCTGGTGTGCACGTAATCATTGGGCATCCACGTTGTTGGAAACATCTGAAGGGTTCCACTCACTTCTCCCTCAAAGCAGCTGTACACATGGCTTGATTAAATTTGGGAACTCCCATTAGCTGGCATTTGCTGAGGGTGGTGGCTGTGGGACTGGGAGCAAAGGAAAGGGGTTCTCCCTCTGGTGAAGTGGGCATGTGCGGTGCTGGGAGGTTCCCTCTGTTCCTAGCTCAGGAGTTTCCAAGGCCTGAACTCTTTGGTCCCTGCTGAATCTTTGAGCCCTGTGCCCCCGTTCCAGCCTGGATAAGCACCACTCTCTGATTCACTTTAAAGTCTTTTTTTTTTCCTCCATGATTTTAACTTTGGCTGCTTGTCAGCACACAAGAAGGTCATCAGTTTGAAAGTGGAGTGTGTTTGTGTGTGTGTGTGTGTGTGCGTGTAATATGCTGTTTGCTACCCTGTTTGCGCACCTGTCGTGGGAAAATGATCCTCAGAAATGAAATAAAATAAGTGTCAAGAGGTATCAGAGGAATGGGAACTCTTTTGGGAGGTCAAGTATTTTCTTTCTCAGCTTTAGGGGAATAGTCTAGGCTAGGATTTGTTGCTGGAAGAGAAAGTGTGGGATGCCCTGGCCCAGCCTTCTGTCTCTGCATGAGCAGGGCCCAAAGTAAGATTCTGTTCAGAACTGCAGGCAGTGAATAAATAAGTAACCCAAAAGGGCTACCTGGATCCTCTTCTGGTCCTTTGAGTCAGGAGTCCCAAGTGCATGTTCGTGTATTCCTGTGTAAGTCCCTCTGGTTTTCTTTTCAACTCTTTTCAACTTGGTCCATCCTCTGATAGCTCCTTGGATGATGGCGATGGTCACAGTGGACCCTGGACTTCGTGGCTTCTTTCCTGCCCAGTGATTTTCTTTGAAAACCGGGGGATGGAGTTGCAAGAGGTTGCAGTTACTCAGAGTGCATCTGGTGGTTAGTTTCCTGGTCCCAGGATGCCACAGAGCATGCCCAACAATCACTTTACCCATATTGTGCAGGGAAGGATCTCCAGCAGTCATGCCAGTCTATGCTTCTCGGGGCCCTGGGGTGAGGGTAGGCCACTGAGGAAGGGCTGGTAACTCCAGGTGCAGCCAAGTCCTGCTGAACCTTGCCTAGGCATTGGACCGAGGTTCTTTATGCCCCAAACTGTCACATTTTGTATATCAAAACCGCCCAAGGGAGCTTATTAAAAATGTGCATTCTTGGCCTCTAACCCCAGAGGTTCTAATTCAGGTGGGACTGGGCAGAGTCGGGGGAGAGGGGGAAGGCCCAGGGATCTGCATTTAAGAAACATTCCAGGTGTTTCTGATGTATGTTTTCACATCGACACTCTGAGAAATACCCACCTATTAGGAGATAGGGGGCATATTTCTGCAATTTGATGGTGAGAACTCCCTGCTCACAAACACTGAAGTAAGCAGTACATTGTACAGACCATCCCTGAAAACCATGATAATAAGCAAAATTTAGTAGCATGCATATGACCCCATGGGAACAAAAATATACAGAATGGACTGAGCCTTCCAGAAGTGTCCTGCATGATTAGGGAGACAAGGCTAATAATATAGGTGTGAAATAA